GTGAGGACATATTAATAAAATTTCAAAGGTACCGCCCTCCTTCAAAAAAAACCTTGTGATGAAGATTCAAGAGTGTTAAAGGTCAATTGGATGAAGGAAGGAGTCAAATGGATGAAATATAGCCAAGACATTATCACATATCAACTATCAAGTTGAAAAGTTTTGCACCGATTTTCAGCCTCATATTAAGACCAATTTTTGACATATAAAATGATCGAATTCGAAGATAGTATATGAAGAAAGGTTGTAACCCTTTGAGTTATCTTTGCAATGCAACTTAAATCACCTCAATCGGATATCAGGAAAGAAAGATACGATCAAAATACTGAAAGTTGTCTGGCAGATAAACATTATAACCTCCATGGTCATCTACAGAGAATCCAAGGGTAGCAATTCTTTGTTCCATGCGGCCGTATGGGTTTATACCTTGCAGCCGCATAGGTAATTTCTATGATGAAATTTCTGGTTTCCGTCTACGACTCAACCACTTATGGTAACTTATTTTGGCACGATTTCTCAACATTAAAACACCTAGAACGGCCCAAAACGCCTCATTCTTCATTCTGCAACATTCTTTCATTGATTTTGGCTCAAGAAACCTATGGAGAACTAAACTAAAGGTGAAGCAAGGGAGGAACTCAATTGGATTCGAGGATTTCAACATCATTTATTCATGCTCTTTGGTATTTATTTTGCTAAACATTTCTAAATCTNAGAACTCCTTCGGAATTGGTGATTTCACATCTATTATTCACGTATTTTGGTAGTTTCTTGTTGAAAAACTCTAGAATTTATAATTTCTTTTCCAGAATTTGTAGTAAGAATTATTTAATTTTTATTAAATTAATCATAGATTCAATCAGGCTTTTTCTATCAACGAATTGAAATATTTGTCGAATTATCTCATGAATGTTATTGGTTGATTGTTTACTACTTTATGCTTGATATATAAAGCCACTTTTCTGATCTCATTCCAATACATGAATACTTAATTGTGTTAAGAAACTAGATTCTAGAGTTACAATTGAAATCGAGTTGATTTGATGGTTTGTTTTCCTCATCATGAATTGATTTT